GCCCGGGGGGCGGGCCAGTGGCGTCCGCGGCCGCAATCTCGGCGATGGCGACGCGCGGCCCGCGGGGCGCCACTTGCAGGCGGCAGCGCCCCACCTGCACCGTCTCGCGGTAGAAGGCGGGCACAGAGTCGCTGTCCACCTCCACCCACTGCAGACGTCCGGGGCCCGGCAGGGGCATGTCTAGCTCGAAGTCGTAGTCCCAGCGACGCTGCTCCTCGGCGTGCAGCTCGGCCAGGCGGGCCTGCACCTCCATGCGCAGCTCCTCGTGGTCCACTGGGCCGAAGAGGCTACGGCAGGCGCTGGTGCGCACGAACGGCGGGAAGGGCCGATGGTCGGCCAAGCGCTCCATCGTCGCGTCTCTGCGGAGGGACACGTCGGGCATGGGCAGGGGCATGGGGAGGAAATGGATAGGGACGAGGACAGGAGGCCAAGAGGAGCCGGCCCGCGAGAGGACCCCACTTCAGACCCGCCCGCCGCTCCCGACTCTCCCGGGGCTCCGGGCGTACCTGGCTGTCTGGCCCGTGGCTGCGGCGACGTTTGCTCCAAGGCTATCGAGCCGGCGGCCGCGCCCCCTAGGTGCTGCCTGAGTTAGGTTTCGGCAAGCGGCACCCCGAGTGCAGCGCTGGCCTGGGGAGCGTCGGCCCGCGCGCGCCCCTTTATAGGCGCGCAGCCCCCCCGCGTGAGCTGGCCCCGCCACGATTAGCATAATGTAGTATTTTCAGTTTCGACAACACGGCGGCCATTGGCCGGCCCGCCCCGCCCGCCCTGCCTGAGGCCCCGCCCCCCATGTCGCCGATTGGCTGCGCGTACACACCCCCTGGGGCGGGGGCGGGGAGGGGGCGGGGCGCACGGGCCGATTGGTGGAGGCGCGGGCGGCAGCGGGGGGAAGGGCGGTAACGCGACACCGCGGCACCCCGCCCCCTCGCCCCATCCCCCCGCTCCCGCCCCCCGCCCGGCTCCTTTGTCTGCAGGCGGGGGCTAAGCGGCGACGGCGACAGAGGCCGAGGGCGCCCCCCCTGCCTGGCGTCCTGCAGGCCCGCCTCGCCCAGCCCGTGGACTCGGGGAGTCCGCGCCAGCTGACGGCGCTTCAAGTCTCCGATGCCAGCTCGTCGCTGGCGGGCGGGCCCGAGACTTGGGCTGCCCCCGTGGACTTCTGCACCCCAGGACTGGTGGCCCGGAAGGATCCGAACTTGGGGCTTTAACACACCTGCTGTCTTCAAGACCCTCCGTTCCGTCCCTGAGAATGGACATCTTGATACCTTCCTTGGATTCTTCCAGGCGACGCGCCTTCTGCCCACTCACTCTATCCCCTGCCCACTGCGACATTGCCCCCAGGCCCAGAGCCCTTCAGGTTTGGGTCAGACACCCCAGGCTGTGACCACACCAGGCCCAGGGGACTGACGTGCTGGTTGGTGCCGAGAGTGGACAGAGCACAAGTGGCTCCTTCCTCGGACCATGTGGACGGCATCCCAGGGCCTTTCCCTGGGCCTCACCCCGGTCACACACAGAACCTGACCCTGGAGTTGGGGGAAGGAAGACTGCAGGAGACCAGGGGTGGGGGCAGAGGGTGCCCAAACACCCACTTCCATTGCAGGCGTTATGCCTCGTTCCACCTTCCTGAAAAGCCAGGAAATTGTGCCCATACCCCTTGTTGTTGTTGTTATGTACCGTGGAGTCAGTTCTGACCCATAGTGACCCTGTACAGGGTTTCCGAGGCTGTAAATCTTTACGGGAGCAGAAAGCCTCATCTTTCTCCCGCGGAGCAGCTGGTAGTTTCGAACTGCTGACCTTGAGGTTAGCAGCCCGATTCGTAACCACTACGCTACCAGAGCTCCTTAGTTGTATGCATAAATGTGCTGGTTCTTGGGGACACATTCAGACTGAGGAGTCTGCCTCGGAGTGCGAAGGCCCACCATCAAGGGAGGATCAGCCCCAGGTCACACCAAGACTAGGGGTCAGAGCCACGACCCAGCACCTCAACCGCCAGTCCACACCAGCCCTGGTTTCGCATCCATTAGTCTCTGCTGCATTCCTTTTGCCAAGCCCGTCCTGGGCCACAATCGGCTCAGGTTGGGCATGGGGATGTCGGATGGAGCAGGTCCCTTAAGAGCCACAGGCTCTCTACCCTTTGTCCTCAGTAAGCCCAATGAGTCTTCCAGAGCTGTGACTGAGAGAGACACAGAGACAGAGAGACACAGAGACAGAGGCAGAGAGGAAGGCCAACCACACTGCAGCCGGCCTGCCACCCCAGCCCCCATCCAGGCTGGATGGGTCCCAGTCACTGAGCTAACTTACCTCTCTGGGGATTGGCCGGCTCCAGGGGCCAGACCCAGCTCACCCAGCAATTGTAGGGGTCCAGGGGGAGGGAGTAATAAGACTGGGGAAGACAGAGAAGTTGTGGGGGGACCCTCACCATCGTGGGAGGAACTCATCCAGCAAACCCAGGACGGTGTGAAACTGAGGATGAGCTGGGTAGGAGACTAGGTCACTGGTGCCCCGGGGGGTGCAGAGTCTCTCAAGGAGGCCCAGGCCCTCTGAGCAGTGTGACTTTCATACTGGGGGCGCCTGATGAATGGGGGTCCAGGGGGTAGACAGAACCAGGCCAGAGCAGCTGGGGACTCTTCTGCCTCCCGAGATTGGGGGCTAGAACTGATACCCCTGAGCCATAGAGAAGGGGCAGGGGCGACAGGGGTCACAGTTGGAATTGAGGAATAGGAGCTGAACTGGCTAATAAACCTCTGGTTCCAGAAGCAGAGCTGCGTCCCCTCCCCCAAGCCAGGGGTTGGGACAAACCAAGAGAAGGACTGTCCAGGCGCTGGGGGCCTGTGAGCCCAGCCCCCGGCAGAGGAGGCCCAGTCCCCCACCCACCCCAAGGGGCCCCGAGCAAGCAAACATCTGGTCTGGATGCAAGCAGCAGGTTTCTGGTTTGTCATGAGAAACGTCTCCCAAGGAAACAGAAAGAATCATCTGTGTACTCTGCTTGCTGCCGAGAACAGAACGGGGAGGGGGCTGGTTGGTCCCGAGGGGCCGGCTGTGCTCACTAAGGAGGGGTTCTCAAATCCTCCCTGCCTGGGAGCGGGGGAGCCCAGTGAGCTCTCCTGCCTGGCTCCCTACTAAACATTTTCCCATACATCTTGGGCACCCCAGCCCATGGAGGGATCACACTGAATGTTGTATGTTCACCATACCCTGAGTTCCACCCCTCCTCGGCAAACTGAGGCCACATGACTAGCTTGGGCCACAGACTATGAACAGAAAAGCTATGCTGTTCTCGACCTAGTCATCACAGCCCTGCAGACAACATTCCTGCCCCTTTCACCCATCCTCTGCCATGAGATGGGGGCCCCGGGGGCCCCTCAGACCCTTGGAGGACAGCAGAGGTTCTGGGTGGGTGAATCTGGTTCCCCATGTGACTGTGAGAAAAAAGCAGCCCCCTCAGCTCACCCACGTTCACGGTGATGGGAAGACATTTTTATTGTGAGTTAAATCAGTAAAAACTTGAAGCTGTCTACGTAGCTAGCATTACTTACCCTGATAACCTACAAGGAGGCTTTAGAAAGGTCGTGGAAAAGTGGAATTAAAAGATAATGGTATTTCCCCACAAAGCTTTTGAAGCCCTCTAGGACAGGAGCTAGGGGCATTTCCATGGACATTTTATAGAGAAGGAAACAGAAGTTAAAGAACATTAGGACATTTGCTCAAGTTTAAACCCTTGCTGTCTGATGTACTCCTTACTCATCAAGCCTACAAGTGGGGATCTTTTGAGCCCAGAGACTCGGGGCTGGAGTTAGCTCTGCCTGCGTGTCAGGAAATCCAGAAATGTGCACAAGTCAGTTCAGGGCGATGGATAAATAGTGAGGGTGGAACTACAAGAGGGGCATGTTCATGTCATTTACTTTTGCCTCAGAAGATTCTTGGAAGAGCAAATGTTTTATTACCTGAATGTTTATCATAATTTGAAAACAAGCCAATTATCAGAATTTAGATTCTCAAAAGGAGACTAGGGTAGTTAAGCCAGCTCAGTTCACCAAGTGCCACGCTCGTGCCAGACTCAGAACACCCCACACGGGCGGTATTGGGGCCCCGTTTTACAGCTGAGGCTTGAGAGGGAGAACATTTGTCCACAAAGTCCATTCCCTGAAGCAGCCGGGCTGGGCTGAGCCCTCGAAGCGCTGTCCACGGCCCAACACTGCCCCCTGGTGGCTGGCACCTGCACTGCCGCCTCACCTGGCTCTCCATTTCTCATCATGTTTTTATGAGTGGCATCCGAACTGAACTGGGGTGGGAAGGATTTGGGGAACTATGTTTTATTGCTGTTGTTAAGTGCCGTCGAGTCAGTTCTGAACCATAGTGACTCTGTATATTATTTCTGAGATGGTAAATCTTTACAGAAGACAATCTCATCTTCCTCCTGCGGAGCAACTAATAGTTTCAAACTAGTGACCTTGGGGTTAGCAACCCAATTCGTAATCCACTATGCTACCAGAGTGTGCTCTCCATGAATATATATATTGTTGTTGTTGTTGTTACGTGCTATCACGTTGGTTCCAACTCATAGTAACCCACCCCATAAAGGGTTTCCAAGGAGCAACTGGTGAATTTGAACCACCGGCCTTGTGAGTCAACCTGACTTGTGACCCAGGGCTTATCCTACAGTACCACATCAGGGCTCCATGAATATATATAGGTTTGACAAAAGATATTTCTACATAAGTTATTACCTTTACTGCAAATATAGCCATGACTCTGGTAGCGTAGTGGTTACGAATCAGGCTGCAAACCTCAGGGTCAGCAGTTCGAAACTACCAGCCATTCCGTGGGAGAAATTTCTGCTCCTGTAAAGATTCACAGCCTCGGAAATCCTGTACAGGGTCACTATGAGTCAGAACTGACTCCACGGCACATAACAACAACTTCGCAGCCCCTGGGGTCCCGACAAGGTTGGTGATTCAAGCTCACCAGCCCCTCCTCGGAAACCCTATATAGGGTCACTATGAATTGGAGCCCACTCGATGGCACTTAACAACAACAATGACATAGTAGACTATACAGGGGACAAACGTATGAAAACTTCTTAGCCATACAAACTATCTTGAGGGAATGAGTTGCTGGGCCTAAGGGCTCAAGGTCATAGCCTCCAGGGACACCAATGTCAAGTGGCATAACAGGTTATAACAAAGACAAGGTTCTACACCTACTTTGGTGAATAGCCCCTGAGATCTTACAAGCTCATGCACTCCATCTAAGGCATAACTATTTCCTCTCCCTATGCAGAGGAAAGATGAGTGAAGAAAATTAAGTGTCTTGGAAACTGAGTTCAGTGAACTAATAATGCGCTACAGGAACATCCGTCTCCTTGACCCTGAGACCAGAAGAACTAGA